GTGCAGTGATCTGAACCCTGCGCAACACTGATTTATCTCCCCGTGCAGTGATCTGAACCCTGCGCAACACTGATTTATCTCCCCATGCAGTGATCTGAACCCTGCGCAACACTGATTTATGTCCCCACCTCAGAGTGTTTCTGGAAGCTGGTTTCCCTGATTCACATCCTATAGTCTGAACCTCAGCAGGGCTGAAGAGTTAGAGAGGAGGTGTAACAAAAACAAAAACTGAGACTGAGTTACACTGCAGATGTCCTTTAATGTCCATTCATTGTCTACTTAAATCTATAATAGCACCTAAAACAAAAGATGAAGCTTCACATTTTGATACTTCATTCCCATAACAACTAGTTGCATAGAATTTTTACAAAAAATGAACAGTGCCAAAAGAGTTAGGTGGGGTGAATGGGCTCCTCTCGTTTTTTAAGTAAGTCTTTAGAGAAGCCAGCAAATCAGCTTCTACCACACGGCTGCATAGATCGTTCCACACTCCTTCTGGACACGCCCAAATAGTTCCCACTTGAAAGGGCATCAGTGCTGCCCTGTGTCGTGGTCCCTGGATGCGCACGACCAGGTCTGCCCAGTGCCCCTGTCGCCATTCAAGACGCCACTTCTTCATACTGCAGGATAGAGATCCTTCTCCCTTGTAGATGCAGAAATGTTCCACAGTGCCTTGAAGGTACATGCTGGCCTTGTTTCTCCTCCTCTGCCTGTTCCTGTGTGTGAGATGAACTCACGTCGGATGTGTCAGCAAGGACTGAAGCATGTTTTATGTTACTTTGATTGCCGTAACAACCGATAGTGAATATCGGGTGAAAGTGCACTCCGTGCGCTTTTATTTTTGCTTCAACAGATTGCACCTGAATAATAGCCTGGTGTATTCTAGTCCAGTAGTGTGAGGATCCATGAGTTACACATACAGCTGCTGAGTCACGTCCTTCCCTGTGGCTGCCGATGCACTACTGGGGGACAGAAGGGGGTGCGGAGCTCTGGTTCGAGCCGGAGCTGCTGGAGTCACAAGTCAGGGTGGCGCAGTGATGAGCGTTACTGCCTCGCAGCGCCGGAGCCCTGGGCTCAATTCCTGGGGGGCTGTCTATGTGGAGTCTGTATGTTCTCCCCGTATTCGCGTGGGTTTCCCATACAGTCCAAAGACATGCTGGTCGGTTGATTGGTTTCTGAGATGTTGGACTGGTGTCCTGTCCAGGCTGCACCCTGCCTTGTTCCTGTTGCTGGGTGGCACAGGCTCCAGCTCCCCACCACCCTGAGCTGGATAGAGCAGTGAGAAGACAGGTGGTGGATTTCTCGCACTGAGCACCTCCATCCCTCCATCCCTGGTGTGACAGAGGTGTAGTTCTTTCAAGCAGAAACCCTGAACCACGGCCCTGCGACTGACCAGGGAGGAAAGAGTGGAGACTGTCCACAGCAGCGTGAGCTCTGACACCAACAACACTTCCAGAGGGCGAAACTACTTCCAGTAAGGGCCTGTCACATTCAAATGAGCAGCAGACAGAAGAAATACAGCTGTGGCACAATGGAGCAGCCTGTAAGAGGGGCCTGGCCAAGCAGTGCGAGAGAGCATGTCTCTATGCGCTCAGATCGAGCGTGGGGATTTCACGAAGCTCTTCATTTGTCGCGGGGCCGAAGAGGTGTCTGTGCGCGTTCCCTTCGGGGGAAAGGGGCTTTTATTAAAGTTGCATTGCCAGAGACATGTGGAAAAATGTTTTTTTTCCCAGCTGGTGGGGGGGGCGCACTGACACACTCTGGCTGCTGTCACAGGTGGGGCTGCACACTGGTGGGGGTGGAGGGGATCCCCATTACCTGTGAAGAGCTCTGAATGACGTGTCCAGAAAAGCGCTGTATAAGTGTAAGCAATTTTTTATTTTATTATTATTATTATTACTTTGTGAGACAGGAAACACCTCCTGCTGCTCGGGCTCTCTGGTCCTGCACAGCGGAAGCCGGTGAAATACAAGCTTTCCGTGATCATTTATCATCTGTACAAAATATTTTATCTATTAGATTTCAACAGAAGAGCAGCGGTCTGTCCCTTTCGGTCAGTGAACAGCCAGTTCTGTTTAATCGCGTCTGTTACTAAGCCTCACACAACAAGGAATCGTCTTGTAAAGGTAAACAGCGCGACCTTGTGGACATGATTGAAAACTGCAAGTGGTCATCTTTCTGAAAGAGCTCTCGAGTTTGACCCGTGTTATAATAATTGTTTACACTTATATAGCGCTTTTCTGGACACTCCACTCAAAGCGCTTTACAGGTCATGGGGATCCCCTCCACCGAGAGTCAGGAGCTCGGTTTCACGTCTCATCTGAAGGACGGGGCCTTTTAACACTATAGTGTCCCCGTCACTGTACTGGGGCATTAGGAAGAATGAACTAAATACACTCAACACGCATGCCATCAGTCATATCACCCTGCAGCTCCCAGCTGGCACCCCACTGAAGCCCAGCAGTGTGAGCCTGGTCAGTACCTGGATGGGAGACTCCTGGGAAAGCTGAGGTTGCTGCTGGAAGAGGTGTTAGTGAGGCCAGCAGGGGGCGCTCACCCTGCAGTCTGGGGGGGTCCTAATGCCCCAGTAAAGTGACGAGGACACTAGACTATAAAAAGGCGCCATCGTTCGGATGAGACATAAAAACTGACGTCCTGACTCTCTGTGATCATTAAAAATCCCAGGGCGTTTCTCAAGAAGAGTAAGGGTGTCACCTGAGCATCCTGTCCAGATTTCCCCCTGGCCTTTACCAATCATGGCCTCCTAATAATACCCATCTCTGAACTGGCTTCATCACTCTGCTCTCCTCCCCACTGAGAGCTGGTGTGTGGGGAGCGGACTGGTGCATCATCATCATCTGGATGCTGCACACTGGTGGTGGTGGAGGGGATCCCCATTACCTGTAAAGTGCTTTGAGTGGAGTGTCCAGAAAAGCGCTATATAAGTGTAAGCAATTATTATTATTATTATTATTATTATTATTATTATTATTATTATTATTGG